ATCCATATAAGAATTAATTTATCAGACTCTTTTTACATCTATGACATAAGGGATTAAAAAAATAGAATGAACAGTTGAGACACTGAAGATTAAACTTTGCCTTTCAAATTCACAGGAAATTTGTCTTGGTTTAAGTGATAATTGTGCTCAAGGATCTAGACAGCTGAAGGCAAACCTTGCTGTGTGCAAGAAAAGAAATAATATGGAATAAGAAATGCTTATCCATAAAGTGGAGATTATATTCTTTTTTCATATGCTAAAAGCCTACCCTTGGAATAATGTGGGAAAACACACATATATGGTCCTGAACTTACAATGGGATCACATCCCAATAAACCTGTTATACTACCTACAACCTGTGATGAACACGAAAGAAGAAATTCTCATTACAGACATGGTTTCCTAGCATAAAGGAGAAACAGTTGTCAATACTATAACAGTCAAGGGAGAGAGACCCTAAGTGATTCACCTAGACTTCCTGCCTGTGTGCCAGAGTGAAAAGTGTCCAGGATTCTGAAGTAACAAAGGTTACTTTGTTTTGAAGCTCACAAGGTGTCACACAGCTACCTATTTAAAACTCAGATAGTAGCATTTTTACAGTTCACTTTAAAAAGGATAATGGCTTTCTGTCCATCACAAAATAGGAGTTCTAGTACAAATCAAATTGTAAAACAAAACAGAAGGCATCAAAGGACATGTAAAATGAATTCAACTTGAAATTGTGAAAGGGAAAGATGAATTTGAGCTGACACTGTGAGGAAAGGTTTTATGGAAGAGCCGAATATTGAAGACTATTTGAAAAGGCATTGAGTGAGGAGATATATATATATATATATATATATATATATATGGGGAAATGGTGTCATAAAGAGAATGAATGTGACATTTGTGAAAAGTGGTGTCATCTCACAGTGTTTCCTTCTTACTCAACACCCAGCATCACACACTGCCTGTTAGTGTTAATGCAAACAACACTTTTGCTCTGGTCTTTAATATGCAAACAGGTTTACATTTGATTCATATTTTAAACTGCTAGGTGGAAGGAGCTCTATTCTCATTTTATTTTCCCTTAATCCTCGATAAAAATGTCTTGCACATAGAGTGAGAGCCTAAATAAATGCCATTTCTCACTGAGGAAAGGGGAGAGGTTCAAAAAAGTCCCTTGGAAACTTTCCAAGTTATTGGGGATACACAACAAGACTATTCCTATTACAGAATTATAGGTGGTGAGAGGTCCCAGCCATGCCTCTTTAGCACAGAGCTGGCCTCCTAAGCAACACACCTACTCTTGTAATTCTTTATTTACCACTTTCTTGGGTTAGATTACTTAAATTCTCTGCACTCCCATTTCATCACTGCTAAGTGCAAATGATTATAATACTATTTACTTTGAAGTGCAATGAAAACTGCTTTATGGAGAGCAGTGAAAATTTCAGTAAAATCAAGATTGGGTCTCACAAGCTGCTAGATATAGGAGGTGAAGACACAAGGTTTATAGACACTCAAGAATGCAAGCAAAAACTGTAAAACCCTTGGGCCTTGGAGAAGACAGAACCTCAGCACAATCCTGCCCAGGAAATGCCAGTTCATTTACACAGTAACTCCTCATCCTCAACTTAAAAATCTTCGGAGCAGCTGTGCATTTTCTTTGTTTGCAAAACTCAGTCCAGCTCCCTCTTGACCCACTGTGCAGTTTGGCAGTTTGCTCCACATTCTGTTCATACCCTTCTCGAAGAGAGAGCCTCCCTGTGAGACCTTAGGCCCATCCCACTCCAGGCAAGCACTGGGGATGCCTGTGGGAACCTTAGGAGCTACTTTGCCCAGTTTCCTCCATGGGTCTTTTTCTTCTTGGAATCTCTTGACTTTCCACAGCTCTCTTCACTTCTTATTTCTCCCATTTGAGATTGAAGCAATCATTTTTATCTTTTTTCTTTATGCTCTGCTCTTATACACTTAATAAATGTTCTGTTCTGCTATTTAAACTCAGCTACACTTTCCTAGTCATTTTAAAGATACTATCATTATTGATCTTCTCACATAGTATTATCATTTATTTATTGATATGCCCAGTGAAATGCACAGACAGTAAATAAAATATTATTGATTGATATGAAATGTGTTAGCTATATGGTGTTGTAGAATAGAGATGAGACCTTCAATAAACTAACACAGGTGGGGCGAACTATAAATAAGTAACTAGTCTCCAAAGCACAAAAAAGCAAAACACTGTGGCAAAGTGTAATGAGCATTATCTGCATGCAGCAAAAAATAGTACTACCAAAATAGTACTTATCAAAAATAGTACTTACCAAAGCCATCATCACAGGGGTCATGTGGTTCATTCAGTACCACATATAAATAATAAATAAAATAAAGGTCCATTGACAACTTAAAAAAAAATTTTAAGATTTTAAAAAATGCAATTCATCCAGCCAGAGGCAGATTCTACTTTTTTAGAATTCTGTTGCACAGTGAGAAATAAAAGAAAGAATATCAACAGATAAGCAGAATTCACATGACTATTTAGTTTACTGGAGAATGACTGAAAAAAAACATATTAGCTCTTATGAAAGAAGTTGTCTAACTTGTAAAATGAGTGCATTACACTACAGGGTTACTAATGACCCCTCTTACTTCCATATATCTAATGTTCTTTACTTAACTGGAACAATAGATACTATCAAATTGACATTAAGATCACAATAATATGCTCTTAATTTTGCTTCTTTCACACAAAAGAAAAGCAACAAAAAAGATGGGAATTAAACAGAAATTTTTTTAAGCACTAAAAGCACAGAACAAATGAAAGAAGGAAGAAAGGAAGGGAGGGAAGATGAGGGAGAAAGAAAGAGAGAGAGGGAAGAGAGAAAGATAATCTGAAATGCTAACATGAGACTTGATGGAGGTAACCATCATTTGGGACCTATGGGACTTAGTTTTCTCTGTGTTTGTCCAGCATTTCACTCTTATGGCCTTCTCTGCAGACATTCTGGGACTTGGTTCTACAGCATGATCGCCTGTAATCTATTGAGAGGAACTGGAGCTCAAGTCTGTTCCCGTGCACTCCAGATGGCATAAGTGGAGTGAGGAGAACGGGATATGATAAGGATGATAATGGTGATAGTGATGATAACCTTGAAGATAAGGAGAAAGTCATTCCAGACCTTCACATTCAAAGTTATTCACTTATATTCCAAATCAATATTTTCCTGGTTAACTGAGGGAAAAACGAGTTTTGCTATCACATTATGGAAATCCAGCAATTTAACCAAGATGTCCATGAATGTTTCTACTAGTGTGTATTCCAAAATTTCTACCACTTTCAGATAAATTCCTGTGAAGAAACAACAAAAGTTGTATCTTGGTCCATTTGGACTGCTTTGACAAAATGCTGTTCAGTGGGTGACTTATAAGAACAGGAATGTATTTCTCATAGTTTTAGAGGCAAGTCCAAGATCAAGATGCCAGTCAATTTACTGACTGCTAAGGGTTGTTCTCTGATTCAGACAGCAGCTTCTTACTGTTACCTCATATGGGGGAAGATGTGAATAAGCTCCCTTGAGTCTATTATATAAGGAGACCAGACCTGTCATAAATGTCTACCTTCATGGTTTAATAACTTTCCCCAAAAGATCTACTTACCAAAGCCATCATCACAGGGGTCAAGACTTCAACATATAAATCTCAGACCATAGCAAGTTGGCTGCATAGACACCACTTGATCACGTACCATTCATAACTTTATGGGTCCCCTGACAATCCATTGCTAGGAACATACATCTTGTTCAGAAACACTCTGCTCATGACTATTGAAACACAATGCTATTCCTCACTGACTAAACCTTTTGTAAGAGATGTGAAATATATCATATTGCTTCTTTTCTCAGCATTCAGGTAAAATGCTATGGTCTGAATGTGGTTTGTTCCCAACAAACTCATGTTGAGGCTTGATCTCCAATGCAAGATAGTAGCAATGGTGGGGCCTTTTAAAGGAATTTGGGGTCATGAAAGATCTGCTGTCATGAATGGGTTAATGTATCTGTCTCAGGAATGGAATTTTCTGAAACAGTGGGTTACTATCAAGTAGATCATCTCCTTAGGCTCCTCTCTTCCACACACCCACTTCCCTTCCACTTTCTGCCAAGAGGCCCTCACCAGAAACTGAACAGATACTAACATCATGTTCCTGACACTTGAGAACTGTGAACTCAGATAAACATCTTCTCTTTATAAATTATTCAGTCTCAAATTCAACAGAAAATGGATGCAAATAGAAACTGAACTGTTTCTCTCCTCGACACCTAGGTAGAAGTTCTCCCTTTTCTGTCTATTCCCTCTAGTTTAGGAAACATCTCTTAGGTCCTAGTTCAAGGAGTACACCACAGAAAACTCTGTCCCAATTCTCCCTCCAGAGTTTATTGTTGTCTTGTTCAGTCACTGTACATTGCATGAACCTGTGACACATTATATTACATTTATTTATTTACACATTAGTCTTTTCCAATCATGGTAAACTCCTTGAAGTGAGGGTCCATATATGACTGATATCTGACAATATGTATCCCTAGCAATTAGGTGTCTGAAAAAGTACCTCTTTCAAATACTTCTTTAATAAAATGAAAACATTGATTTTATTGACACACCACTCTTTTTCCAAGTAGAAGGCAAGAGAAGCATCCTTCACATTGGAATATTTTAAATATTTCAGATTTCATGCATTAGATTATTCATTGCATATAATCTTAAGAATAAAAGCAAAAAGCATAAATAAAACCAAAGAAATCAAAAGCATAATTTAAAAATAAGATAACAAAAATCACTCTGGAGAGACAATGAATTGCATGAGAAGCTGAATTTGTCTATCAATAGCTCAGGTGATCACAAATGGGTCTACTCTGTTAAAGGGTATATTGTAGAAGTCAAGCTGACCTCTCTACTTTTATAATTTTCTATTGCTTTGAATTAAATCAGATTTATGTATGTAACTTAGTTATTATTACCTTTTACCAGAAGTCTTCAATACCACCCACAAATTGTTTAGGCATCAGGGAAATGAATTCTTTTGCTTGAAAAACATCAAAATACAGAAAACATAAAGTTTGTATAAGGCATCAGAGTGCAGCTTTGTCATGTGTTTTCTTTTTCAGTTGGTTATTATTAACTGTTGCAATTATTATTACTGAAATAATCCCAAAAGATTACAATATGATTAGGACCAAAAGAACAAACGTTGTAGCAAATATATTGGCTGCTTATGGAATAAACTTCTACTCCACAGCCAACTTTTTGCTGTACACTATGTTATGCAATAAAATAAAAGTCCCCCAAAATGGACACAGGCCTTCACTATCTTTTTGGATTAAAATATAGCATCATTCAAATAACTTTTGGTATGTGTTCTACTTTATCTTCATTATGAAGAGGAAAAAAATTGGATATGGGCTTTGGAGAAAATTATAGCCTCATCAGGACACAAATAAATTACATATGGCCCATTAAAACCCATCAGTGCAACTCAGATAACATTTATTTATTGTTAGTTGTTTTAAAGGTTTATAGTTATTTTCCAGATTTCGCTGCACTTTACTTACCCTCATTTAAAATTCTTTTTCTTTAGTGAACTGTCTGGTTTAAGTTTTATTTCCATTATTTTCCTCCTGAAAGTTAAATTCTAAAATGTTGTTATTTGGCATTTGCCACCAGATCTTTATCACAGGTTGGCTATTAGAATGCTCTAGGATTGCCCCTGGGCTCTATGACACTCCCTTGGATGTACTTTGTTGATATACGAATGTTGAGGGGAATACACTTTATCAAGATATATTTATAAAATGGCACTGTGTTCTATTCCAAAGAAAGTCAAATAAGGGACAAGCCAAAATCTATGTCACCCAAACATTCCAATATTTTGAAAAACACTTAAAAATTTTTATACATTAGAACCAGTTTGGGGGGGTTTATCTCACATAATTAAGCTGCAAAGGTGAGTTTATTTGCTGTATGAATTTTCCCATCTGTCTTAATATATTGCAGAGGTATGAAGGCCATTTATTGGTCAAAAGCTGTTAAAAAGTGAAATATATTTCCAAATGTCATAATGTGTTGTGAGGCATGCAAGCACAGGATTTGGAGGCAGGCAAATGTTAATCTGCAGTTTATCAGCTAAGTTAGTCACAGTTTTCTCAGCGGCTACATGACAGTAATAATAAATATCTTGGGAGATTATTATAAAGATTAAGTTGAAAAAAATAAATGCATGAAAAAGTGACTCTGTATTGGTAGAATCAGTAGGAATGATAAAAGTAATGTGGGATGAAAGGTGAACATATACACAAATAGAAATTTTTGTGTATATGTAAATTTTTGTGTAGATTTTTCCATCTCAGAACTTGACTATATGCTTTAAAATTAACACAATTTTTTGGTAGCAAGAGTAATGATGGCAGCACTGTGCTGGTGAAGATGGTGCACCATGAGGGTGATGTTGGGGGAGATGATGGTGGGGGGTAATCATTATTTTGTTGATGGGCTCATGATGAGGGTGTGGTGTGATGACTGTTAATGAGATGGTGGTTCAGCTGTCAGTGATGCTGTGTGAGGCTGGTGGGATGCGATGGTTATGTGATGTGGTGACAGAATCAGGAGATGATGGTATGGTTGTCAATAGGAGGTTTTGATGGACATTGAGTGGGAGGCCAGTGTAGTTCATTTTCTCTGACTGATACAGATTTTTGTGCCAGGAGGAATTCTAGGGGATCAGAATCTTAAGATACATTGTATGAATTGCTTTGGGTTGTCTAGAACTGATTCTTATTACAATTATATTTAAAGATGCTAATTTTTATATTCCCAGTGGTAGACAGGACACTGATAGTCCATGGCATGGTGTGGCAATCGTGAGCAAAATATCATCATTGGCTAGTCCTCATCAAGGACATATGGATGGTAAGTTTCTAAGGTTTTGGATGATCCTCTATGTAGTATCTTATAACATTCTAATAAACTAAGGAGCATAATTGGGATTGGCTGGTTGATTCTAAATAGACTGGAGAAAATGAGAAGAATCCTGGGCTTCAAATTCCCAGGTTACTCTCTGCATAAAGGACTTGAAAGCTTTCATATCTGTGCTGAACTAAATCCTTATCTCCTATAGTTGTAGGGTTAAAGTTTCTGAAATGGGGACTGAGCAGACCCTGAAGGCACAAATAAGTTATATGAACTTTCCCAAATATCCGTGGACTGTACTACTACTGTACTACCTTCTGCCTTCCTGGGAGTATGCTAAGGTCAATTAATAAGGAACTAAAACTAAGACCTGTTTTATAGATTGCTCTCTACAAAAGGCAGTGTCTTAGTCCATTTGTGCTGCTATAATAAAATACCTGAGACTAAATAATTTACAAAGAACAGGTATTTACTTCTCATGTAAATACTATAGAGGCTAAGAATTCCAAGATCAACACACTTAAAGCTATGGTACCTGAAAAGAACTTGGTCTCTGCTTCTAAGATTGCATCTTATTACTGCAGCTTCCAGAGGGGAAGAATGCTGCATCTTCATGTGGCAGAAGGGTTGGAAAAGCAAACACCACTTCCTTTAACTTAATCTCACTCAAGATACCAGAGCCCTAAGGACTTAATCACTTCCCAAAGGCCACACCTCTTACTATTCTTACATTAGCAATTAAGTTTTATCATAAATTTTGTAAGGATCACTATCATTCAAACCATAGCAGGTAGGTACCACCAGGAAGTGGACAACTAGAGTGCACTTCCTTATAAAAACATCCCCCAAGAGACAGTGCTGAAGGGCTTTCCTCCTAGTAAGAAGAAAACCAAGCAGTACATTGGTTGTTCATATTTCTTGCAAGGACAATTTTCCAGGAGTTTGGATCGATATCAGGATCTCAGAAGGAACATCTTTAGGAAATTCGTGACAAAAAGTTACGGGGAAGAAGTACATGAACAGACCTCTCTGAATGGACAAAGACTATGAACATTTTGTGCCCTTTGTGAGTGTTCATCCCTAGGTGACCTCAGCAGTGGAGGATTTTAATAACCAAGTGGATACTATGAATGCCACTCAGCTTCTTTCCCTAGCCACTCCCGTTAAGCTCAATGTACTTAGGAACACGTAGTCACAATACCAGAGATAGGAGTTTTGCATGAGCTTATGAACATGGATTTCACTTCTTGAGGCTGATTTGATTACAGCCATGGCTTGGGGGGGGTGTCCAATTTGCAAGCATCAGAAACACACACTGAGTACCTAGTATGGTGCTCTTCCCCAGGGTTATTAAAGGGGTAGATTAATTACTTTGGACCATTTTTGCCATGGAAGGGGCAGCACTTTTTTCTTATTGGAATAGACAATTACTCTGGATTTGCCTCCCTGCTTGTTATGCTTCTGCCAAAGTTACCATCTATGGACTCAGAGTGCCTTTGTTGCCATCTGGGTATTTCACAACCATTGCTTCTCATCAAATAACCCATTTCATAGCAAATGAAGTGCAATAATAGGCCCACATTCATGGAATTCAATGATCCTATGTTTGCCATCATCCTGAAGCAGTTGAGTTGAGAGATAGTGGCTGGCCCGTTGAAGACACAGGTTACAATGTCAGCTGAGGGGCAATACCTTGTAGGATTGGAGCAGAAGGCTTTACATCCTCTAACTCAGCATCTGATGTGTGGTACATTTTTTCCCCATAGCTAAGATTCACAAGACCAGAAATGAAGTCTAGAAATTGAAATGGAACTACTCATTATTGTCCCTGGTGATCTTGTTGCAAAATTTTTGCTGACCTAAAGCTCTAGAGTAACAAAGAGAGGAATGGTTCCACCAGGACATTCCATTCCACTGGAATTCCATTGCACTGGAAGATGAGACTACCATTTGTTCATTTTGTTTCTGCCTGCCTCTGAATCATCAGGAGAAGAGAAAAGTTCCTATACTGGTTAGAATGATTGACACTGACAACCAAAGGGGAAATTTGAGTCCTACTATACAATAGAGTTAAGTAAGATTATTTCTGGATTACAGGTGATCCCTTAAGAAGCCTTCTAGTCCTAACATGTCTTGTAATTAGAGTCAATGGAAAATTCCCAACAACCCATTCTAGCAGAACTGTTAATGGCCCAGATTTGTCAAGAATAAAAGTTTGAGACATCCCTGCAGGCAAAAACCATGGTCATTTAAAATGCTTGTTGAGGGAAAAGGGCATATAGAATAGATATTGGAGGAACATATTACAAGTATGAGTTAAGGTCAATGATCAGTTGCAGAAATGGGGGCTCTAATAATTATGAATATATCTTCTTTATTTTATTATTAGTAGTATATATATTTAGCAAATTATTTTGTTTTCCCTTCTCCATTATCTGTTTTCATCTAACATAAGAAGTATTGATCTTCTATCACAGGATTTAAGTTATATAAATATATCCAAGAATATCAAAAAAACATTGCCTGGGGGTTTTCATCCTCTTGGAAAAGGATTAGAAGGTTTGTGATGGTATAAAATGTAGTTGAATCCACAGATGTGCATGGACATCAAATTATCAAGGAATGGACTGTTGTGGTTATTTTTATGTGTCAACTCAGCCAAGACATGTTCCTGGTTATTCAATAAACTCTAATCTAGGTGTTGTGGTGAAAATATTTTGTAGATACATTTAAATTCCATAATAAATTGACTTTACATAGGGAGATTATCCGGCATAGGCTGTGGGGTCTGAATCAACTAATCAAATGCTTTAAAATCAGAACTAATTGTTCCTTGAGAATGGAGAATTTCATTTCTAGAACTCCCATCCTGCTTTTCCTGATGGGCACCCTGTGGAATCTAAACTTTCCAGTTGTCAGAAGTGCATAATCCAATTCCTTGCATATCTTCTAATATCTACAACTGATTCTGTTTCTTTGGATGAACTCTGATGGATACAAAACACTCATACACACTCATACACACACACACACACACACACACACACAAACTCACGGAAATCCTTTCTTCCTTATTTTCTTTTGTCAATACTAATTTGTTTACTGATTATCTTTCTTCCTTACAGAGTAAATCCCTTAAAATCTAGATCTGGATTTCTGAATCCTTTGAAGCACAAAGCCCTAAGCCCTGCCCTATGCATTCAGTGAATGAAAGTTACTTTTTGAAAAATTTCAACTATCATTTATTTAATAAATTTGCTAAATAAATAGTTTAATATGTTGAAATAGATAAATATTTAAATCTAATCATCTTAAACATTTTCTCTTCTGGTTTTCATTATATACAGAACTTGATCTTGGGGATGATGAGGCTGTGGAAGGCCATCCGTTATTTCAGTTTAGAACTCTGTTTAGTTTCTAACATGCTTCCATTTGTAAGTTATTCTTTGTCTCCACTAATTACTACAAAAGGTAATTTGCAAATATTTCATGTGTCTCACTAGGCTAATAGTAACTGAAGTTTAATTTCTAAATTTATAATAATAATTCCTTTTTTTTCCTTAAAAAATTTTATGACAGTCATTCATTTTTCCATTTTCTTTCATTCCAATTCCCTTGACTGATGCCCTTTTAAGTATTTTCTTCCAGAAAAATGTATCCAGGCAATTTCATGTTACATAATAAATCATTTTATTATGAATTTATTTCTTCCCTTATTCATTCATCCTTCAAATAATTAACAAGTGTCTACTGTATGCAAGGATCTAGGCTACCTAATTCAGCATGTCAAGATTTCTTAAATGACCAAGTCTAATTATTCTTTGTTAAAAATCAATCATAGACGTAAATATACAGGGGTGGAGATAATACCATGCATTTTATCTGATCATAATGCAATGAAAATGGAAATCA